GGTCGAATGATGATTCTGAGGTCAGTATAGTCATTGTTGCAAATAAAAAAGGAGAATATACTCGTAATATTGTAGCAGGTAAACCCGTTGCTAAGTAAAGGCAGCAAACAATAACAGACGAATGGTGTTCTTTACGCGGTCCGAGCGCTAACCACTTGAAGCAACAATAGAACTGTTGGGAGAGGTGTTTTCTATGGTCTCCACGCCGAGGCTACTTAAGGAGTCGATTGTGCGTTGTGAGTTCGGCAGTTGGAAGACAGTTCAGCTCGGGAGCTGCAGTGAGAAAGGCGATAGATAGGACATGCGGTCGTGAACACGAAAGTTGAGGAAGGTATGGTGTTGGAAGCCGTTACCAGACAACGATTGATGAAGACACGGCAGAATGAGAAGAAATAATACGTGTTGTAGTGAACTGTTGAGTGTGTGATTAGTTGTAGCGCTGTAGTTATTTGTAGTTACGATCTGTAAATTTTCAATAACTCCAATTAAAAATCCAATCCAAACTCATACACGTGGAAATATAGCCCTCCCATAAAGGAGTCTTATAAAGATTTTGTTTCGCTTGAGTCTATGAAAAATTTGACATCGAAACTCGTCCTTAAAAATTAAAATGGCCTGCAGTTGAAACAAGAAAATACATTACGAGTAATGTGGAACTAGAAAATCTAAAGCAGAAAATATACCAGAAATCATGTAGTTTTCGTGCTTCATGTGGGCTGAAAAATGAAGCCACCCTCTGGACAACAAGAGGCTGTACAGCACCTGTGTTTAGTGTGTTAAGTGCCTCTGTACATATACAGGCAGAAGTATTCACTGACAGATTAAATTACAAAACATATTGATTTCGAAGTACATTTTGTAAATACTGCGTAAAACTTTTTCAGTGGCAATTAACTAGTAGTTCTCGTAATCACAAAGTAGATAACACCTGCGTGAAAATGGAATTTTCCATTAAACTCTTGGTACAGTAAAAGTACATAGAACTAATCAATATTAAACTATTACTGATAACAAAGAGTGAAATAAAATTTCTTAGTCCAGGTTTTCTAGACTGGGCTTGGGTCTGGAATCGACTACCGATGCATAGAGACTATCGTGTTTTCGTCAGTCTTTCTACAGGAATAATAGAACCATACCTGGCATTCTGCTTTTGACGCTCTTGCTTGAAAATGGGATTCCCAACAAAGCGTAATTTCGCTCCACTTGTCCTTGAAACTCGACTTATGATAAAATAAAGTGTGAAATCATTTCGGATTCTGAGTTTTGTATATGCTATATCTGTATTGTAAACAGATTCACAATAACAGATCTAGGTCTGCAATAAACGAACATCAAGTTAACGGCAGAAATAAAATCACAAAGAACGCCTTTGCTGTACACTGTACCACTCTTGTCTAATATATCTTCACATCCTTTAGTACTTGATCTAATATGGACGCTAAGTGCATAGGAATTTGTTTCTTTAAAATTGAAGCAAGACTTCAGATAACAATGCTGTGCTGTGCGGAAAACAAGAACATTTTTGACTTCACAGCTACCGTGTGTAACAAGAGCAAACAAAAGGAGAACACGAGTGAGAAGAGAATAAAGGAACACAAATTCTGAAAAATGCACTCAAAGAAGTATACATAGGAAGAAAGTCTTTGGATGTGGACACGTACTTTTCTCGGCCTATAGAGGGCTTCGTGTTAGGCCGATTTACCGTGACATTAGACCTGCCAACAGGCTATTTCTAGATATCTTCAAGAAAGGGAGACGAAATTTTTGGAGTGCTCACAGCGGTGACTATAAATGCTAACATCTTCTGAAATGTGACGCCGTATAGACAGGCATATTTTCACCGAAATGTTGGTGGAATTTACTGCGTCTGTTTTTTTGAGTAACTCCTCTATACTGAAGATGGAGACATTGCCTTACTCCGAAATATCGTTAAGCAACCACATCACATGACGTCACATCTTTGAAGTCTGGACTCCCTGTTATGATTAAGATCTTCTGGAAAATTATATTTTAATTTCATAATTGCTTATCAGTGTTTGAGAGGAACCTGTCGCCTCCATCTTGAGGACAAACAGAGGTAGCAGATTCAGATCTATCTCTGGCATATAATGTCGTATAGAACGTTGAAAGTCAACCGATGTTTCGGAGAAATCTGTCGACTCCATCTACTGGGTTGAAGAGCAAGCCATTTAATAAACCAATATGAATCAGGAATCAGTTGGTTTCTCATGGATATGTGCCTGAATAAGAAGGCGAGAGGAACATATATCCCTATTCGAACATTCGAAAGAAAACATATTTCTATACAAAAGTTTTGGGCACAAAGTTAAGTGGCTTTTGCATACTCAATGTTCACTCTAAAACAGTTTATTTTTGTGGCACTTGGTCCTGAAAATTTCAGGGCACGGTTACCAAAGTTTCAGACAGCCTGTGTCGTCATCGGCTTTTCCGGAACTTCGAACAAAAAGCACAGCAAATGACGATGTCACCGTCTGGACCTCCACGTATAAACACGCGGTCTCTCTACAGCTATGTGGTTAGAGTTAGTGCTCCATAGTGCTTAAGTGCATAAGATGTGGTTGCGCTTAGGGATGAGTATTGTATTCGTCGAAAACTTTCGGGCGAACACCGTGCAAAGTTCTGAAAGATGACGAAATTTAGAGACGTGTATGATATGTGAATATGACAGGATGGTTCATATGAAGTGGCTCGCATGCAAATCCTACTGCAATTCTCTGTATGGAATAACCGCAAATTCACATCAAATTTCTGAGAAATTAATGTGACAGAATTAGTCAGACACCCGTGACCTGAATGCACGCTTCCAGGCACATGCAGTCTATCGTGAGAAGGCTCTCAACTATTCGTTTTAGGCCAGTCATTAGGACGGAGTGTAGGTTCCATTTTATGAACATATGCGTATATAGACGATATAAAAGGCCAATAATTTTGTTATATAATTTTTCATTATTTTCTCCTTCTACTATTCTTCTTTATCTTCATCTTTTTATCTTTTTTTACCGTTAACACTTTTTTTCCCATTGTCTTTGTTCCCCTTCTTGGCTTCCGCGCGTGCGTATATGTGTGTGTGTGTAGAGATCGTCAATACTGATTTCCGTTATCTGCGATAATAGATAACAACTCAAAAGAACGTAAATTCGTTTACGACAATATATACTAGAAACGAATATCTTTGCATTTTGCACATATATACACATATATAAATGTGTATATACGTATACATATATATGTGCATATACACAACTAATTATATGAAATAGGCCTATACTTAACAAAATTTCATACACAGTTACGTTACATAAAGTTAAAGTAAAGTTGTCCCTGTGCTTAACTAATTAAGCACTATGCCATGAAGTTTATATAGGAGTGGGTGTATAGATCATATTTTCTTGACCTCGGCACTAGCTAGAGGTAAGTGGTCGGCTTCACGAACCGGCCGCTTTACCCCCGGGGGAAGAGGTCCCGGTACCCATTGAATGGGAGCTTGGGTTGACCCCAGAGCCGGTCTGAACGACGTGAAAAAAAAAATATAAAAAATTTTACCCCAACGGGATTTGAACTCCAACCCCTTGGACGTCCAGCTCATAGCCAGTCGCTATACCGACTGAGCTATCCTGGCTCCTAGTTGCTCTACATATGTACATTTATTATTTCTATTGCCAGACATTGTTTATATCATGTGCCCCTCAACACACTCCATTAACGCAATCAAATACATAAAATTTCAACAGGAATTAATTGAGAAATTTCCTAGAACAGGCTGACCCCTCCATTGTGTATTCATTTAATGTGTTTTATATAAAGAACGCAAACGCCATATGAAATGTTTCAGAATTATACCTAAACCTTTAAATAATCTACAAAGTAGAAAGTGGCTTCTCATTTTGTATGTGTTTTATATATATATATATACACACACACACACACACACACGTATATCGTCATTCAAACGCTGTAGTAGTCTCCAAGTACTTACACAAGAGACAGGGTTAATTTCGAAACTGCGCTTTCCGAGAGAGAATCTTAATTCACAGTGGCAAACGAGAAATTAGTGGCACAAGACAAAAGTATAAGGTGTGATAGGAAGGAGTACACGGCTGAAAATACGAAATAAATCATTCCCCTCTGAATTTCAATAGATCTTCTAACGTTGCTTTCATAACAATTTTTGAAAGTGAAACATAGATCAACAGAATCCAAAGATTTAACGCCAGTTAAAAAAAAAAATACTATCTTAATACAGGTTTGTAATCTATTTACGCCCGACTTCCGGCCCCACAACCTACTGCGCTAGATACGTTCTAACGCCGTCTTCCCCTTCTTGGTCTTCCCTAGTGGATATTTTCCTAGAGTTCTGACGTCAAAATATCAGTACACATATATTTTTTCGTCCTAACCACATGCCCAGCCCATCAAACTTTAATATATTTTAGGCTCTAACTCAATCAAGCAACCAATACAAATTACATAACGCCTAATTATGTAATATTCTGAATTTTTCACCAAATTTATGCATCCCGGATCCAAATAGCATATTTTTGTTAATAATTTATTTAACAACGCTGGCAGTAGTTCGTACTATGTAGCATAAAATGATTAATAAGTAATGGATTATAAAGAATATAAAAATAAGCGGTTGTGTAAAACATTAAGTTAATCTCCCTGAATTTATCTTAATTTACTGGGGAAAAGCCAGACAAACCTTACTCAGGAGAGCGGATATATGAAGCCAAGATTTCCGGAATAGAATGTCATGTGGCAAAACCTGACAGATAATTTGGGTCCTGTGTAATTTATTTTCAGATTCCGGTAGACTCTTCGAAACCATGAAGGCAGCCCAGCGCAGAAAATATGAACAATTCGTCCTTCATCCATGTTTGACACTGCGAAATAATGCATTTTCACAGTGACCGCTTTTCCGTTGTTGGTCGTGCTGTTGGAGATAAGAAATAGCATGTTAGTTTCAAAGTTGGACTCACCAGCAACAGTAGGAAGCCTGTCCTAACCATTTGTCTACTGCACTTTTGTGGTTCGTTGGAATAGACCTCGTAATCACACTGGGTCACAGAAGAGTAAGTGAGATGACTCAATGTGATAAACAAAGACGACAGTTCCTGACCCATCTGGACAGACTAAGGCAACCAGCAGGCAGATTGCTAGAAAGAGAAAAAAGAAAAGATTTAAGGAGAACCTGGGAAATGGGACTATAAATAGAGAAAGTTCAAGTCTTAAACCTTAAGAAAAAGAAAGGTCACAGCTGAGAAAAAGGATCGCTGTACTTGAGTACTGTAGAAGTGGGGGTAGTGTTCAAGAAATTCTGTGGTGTGGTCAGGCACTGGTCAGGCTCTGGTCAGGCTCTGCTCAGGCACTGGTAAGGCACTGGTCAGGTTCTGGTCAGGCTCTTAGAATATAAAGAAAAAGCAATGTAACAGATATAACAGAGAAAATATCAAGTAGCCAATTTGAACTCATAAAGACTGAATTTATCCTAAATATTATATATAAATAAGTTCGAACCTCACAGGAAAACACGTTCCGTCTCCGCTACTTTAACCAAACGCAAATTCAGCTAAGTAAAACAATTTCTCTCTGTTGTGAGAATCACATGGAAAACACAATTACACATAGTTTGTAGCACGCAGAATTTTAGTATTGTCACGTTGTATGTGCGATTATAGACGGGGTTTGGATTGGCGAGTAGATTTATTGGATCATTATAACTCGCATCTACAAATAAATATAACACTATGGCTATTTCCACATTTTACATTTCACTACAGCACAGAGTCTATTGTTCTCAGTCTGTTACTATACGTTTCCTTGTAACGGCTCCAACAATGACTATTCGTCTGCCTCCGTTTCAAGTCATCTCTTCACAAATTTCAGCACAGAACTCAGTTTCAACTGACTTTATCCCTTGCTTATAACATCTCAGCACGGACCACAAAGAAAGCACAGCTTTTCCATTGTTGTAGTCCATCTGTTACATTAATATGAAACTGCTGCATAGCAACGGGAAAGTGTTTACCGAGCCCTTGTCCAGAAACGATAGCTGTTTACAGAGTCGCCTCTTAGCAACGGGTCTACACGCCACAGTATGTTAGATACATAAAGCACTAACTGCTCTTAGAAGAGTTAATTGAAGGGTATGAAAGAGAATAGAACTGACATGCAATGAATATTATATACATGTCACTGAGTATGTTGGTATGGCCGTAACGCTGTAGATTTGTATTCGGGAGATGCTCTCTTTGAATATCCTCCGGAACATCGCCTATCCTAACCAAGGTTCTCCGTGGTCTTCACGAGTTCCTCCAGAGCAATCGTGGGATAGTAAGCTACCTCACTTAGACAACAACCATTCTATTCCAAGTCCTTTCTACTGCGAAATTCATCAACAAACCACATATTAGACGCTCTGTACTTTTAACTACTGAACACTAGTAACACCATGAAGCTGAGTTCTTCTTGAGACACCACCAGCTGCTAGGCTACTCAAGAATTTCTTAACATTTTATGGAACACAAAGATTCATCACCGTGTTCATAAGAGACCTCTACAGGTCCCTATCCTGAGCCAGATCAACCCAGTCCATATTACCCCATCCTTTTTTATCTAAGATCAAAAATTAAGTAAACAACTGGTAGCATATCTGATATAATGACCGTACAAATGATACGCAAAGTTTGGTTGCAATGAATTTTGTCACGACTTGTCGCCGGCAACAACCTTTAGCAACTGCCACCATAGTTCGTCCAAGACGTTCTGAAGAATGACGAGAGAATCATCTGGCTGTGTGGAAGACTAATGAGAAAAGTTCGTAATTTCAAAATTTCAAAATTCAACCGTTACCTACCTTCTGGTTTAATACATTTCTAACTTCTACGATTGTTTTTAATATATGTCGGTAGAGTTCGTTTGGGGAATAAAACCACGGAGTTTGTTTTTTTATGTTTACTGTATTAACTGCAGAAGCTTTCACATTTTATGAAAATAACTAACTTCATAGAGCTGAACCCTTATTGAGAAACCGTCAATTGTGCAGCTACTCAAACTATTGGTAGAAATTTATAGAACTCTAATGTTCATTACCGTGTTCACAAGAGCCAGTCACTGGCCCCTATCTTGAACCAGATCGATCCAGTTCAGATTACCCCATCATATCTAAGATTCATTTTAATATTATCCATCCACTTACGTCTTGGTATTCCTAGTGATCTCTTTCCATCTTGCTTTCCCACCAATATCCTATATGTTTTCCTTTTCTCTCCATTCGTGCTATATTTCCTTCCCATCTCATCATCCTAATTATACCTTCTAATTAGAACGATAAAGTCAAGGAGGATGAAGTAGGCAGGTCATGTAGCACGAATGGGGGAGGAGAGGAATTCATATAGCATATAGGCGGGAAAGCCAGAAGGAAAGAGACCACTGGGAAGACCAAGACATACGTTTTGGATGAACAATATTAAAATGGATCTTAGAGAGATAGGATGGGGTGGTGAGGACTGGGTCAATCTGGCTCAGGGTAGGGACCAGCGGAGGGCTCTTTTGAACACGGTAATGAACCTTCGGGATCCATAAAATGCTGGGATATTCTTGAGTAGCTGCACAATTGGCGGCTTCTCAAGAAGGACTCAGCTCCAAGAGTGAGTGAGAGTGAGTTATACCTTCTGAACTACTGCAGTGTTGTGCTTCACAACCGAGAAACCCTGCAGAGAGCATGGGATTTGTTGCCGACCTCAGAATTTGCATTCAGCGTGTTTCTGTTCTCTTTCGTTTATCCGCTGATTCTGAGTCTTGGAGCTGGAAGGCATTCAAATGCCCCCCCCCCCGATACCCCCGGACGTTCTTGCCAAATGCTGTAATCAAAAGAATCATGATTTTATTTAATGCTCTGCTTGGCACAGGAAGATGCCTGGTGGTACTTCACGCCAATAATAAAAAGTGCTCATAATCTTAGAGGCAAGAATTTCTGGGAGGGGGGAGGGAACTTATGCAGATAGTGCAAACTGATAATTAGGACTATGCAATGCAGGTGTGAGAAAGATAAAAAGTAACAAGCAGCGAGTTAGCTCTAAGAAATTCTAACAGAGGTGTGTAAGTCTCGGCATTAATGAGTTTTTGGATTCTGTACATCCTCCGATATTCTAAGAACACAACATTTAGGAGATAGACCTACATTCCAAAACGTTCTGTTTTTTTTCTTAAAATACCGGATGATGGACACAGATCCAGTTTCCGAAACGGTATGTTCTTTATAATACCGGACGATAGACTAAGATCTGGCTTCCAAAATAAACTATTCTTTAGAATACCAGTAAAAAGTAAATTTGTCCTTGTGCTTATCTAATTAAGCACTATGCCATGAAGACGTATGGGGGAGTGGATGTATAGATCTACATTTTCTTGACCTCGGCAATGGTTGGAAGTGAGTGATCAGCTTCACACCCCAGCCGCTTTACCCTCGGGGAAAGACCCCACTGTACACATTGGATAGGGGGTTGGGTGGACCCCAGAGCCGGTCTGGATAAAGTGGAGAAGAGAAATTTCTTAACCCTGCCAGGACTCGAACTCGGACCCCTGAGTCGTGCAGCCCGTAGCCAGTCGTTTAGAATACCGGACGACGGGAAATATCCCAAAAGCTCAGTAGTCCCAAATAGGAAATAATTTTTTTTTATTTTAACTATTTATTTGCAATTAGGGCTGTGTATTTCTACAGTGTCAGTTATATTTATTATCCACGAATAAACATTATATATAGACATATAATTTTCTGTTTTACTGTACCTGAGATTTCTTTACTGTCCTCGCTCCGCTCCCAATTGTAAGTTGTACTTGCATGGCATAACAAAACACTCAGGGGATTCCCTTTCTCTCTCGAAAGTAAGACACTCTATCGAGAGCGCTGGAGATGTTCCTTTTGATCACATGACACGTTTTCTTTACTCAGCGCAGTAAGGAAAGGTAACTTGTGCCTTGCTTTGAAATGAAGACTTCCCCCCACCCCTTCTATTCGCCTTTTTTCTGTCAAGGGGGGAGAAATATGTGGCATATCAGCATTTCACCCTTTTCTTTGTTGATATCTCTTTGATTTGTTGTTATCTCTTTTTATTTTTTTTTTAAATCGAACACAGGCGATGGCAAACTCTGTGCTTGATTCTATATTGGAAACGTCATTGTGACGTAGAGGGTTACAGTGACTAGAAGAACGAATAAAGAAGAAAGGATTCTCGTCTTGTTGCGGTATCATTTCGCTCATCATTCCCCTTGATTACCTCAGTCCCGCTTTCTTCTTGCAGAACGTTTTATTAGAGTTTCGACTTGAACTGGAAAACAAAAGAAAAATATCTGCTTGTCTGTCTTCAACAACGGACGCCAATTCTGCTTCATACACGATTGTCATATCGACGCAACAAAAGATAATTTCAGACATTGTCAAGAATTGGAATCTAAAATAAAAAAATCTCTTCTAGTATTTCGGCAAGGAAGAAGTAGGACAACAATTGCGGACAAAGCAGAGATTTGCATGCTAATACACAGTTATTTCAATAAAAAATATATCTGGAAATAAAATACATGATTACTTGAATAACATAACCAAAAACTGCAAAGAAATTTAGTTCAAGCAACAATTCTTCTGGCACATTCGGGAGCATCCTTCTTCAAATTTCGGTCCCACGCTCCAAGTCATTGCATGTAAATACTGGAATGTTGTCATCTGAAGGCCATGACATTTTTCTTTCATTTTCTGTTCATTTCATTGTTCATTCTTATCAGATGTTCGATGAAGCATCTTTTGTGTTACAGCAATGTTGTTAAACTACAACTAAACTGAGTTTAGCAAGCTACCACTATCAAACGAAGATACCTGCCAATAAAATGACAACCGATCATATTGTTACGTGATAAGAGCGAATATAGAAGGTGCCTGCATTAGTGATTGGATTTATTATAGACACAACTCATAACCGCAAGTAAATATAACAGTCTCACTGTTTTACACACTCTGTAACTGCAGCACACATAAAGCCTTCTATGTCTTCACTGGTCCTTTCTTAGTAACGGATCCTAACAACGTCCTCTACTAACGCCCTTACAGGTGGCGAATACCCCACGTCTAACTCATTGCTCCCAAGCTGACGACTATCTCACA